GTCATGTCTCTCTCACTCTTCTCTCTCTCCCCTTTCGTCTCGTCTCGACGCATCCAAGCAGCAAACCGTTCGACGCTAAGACGTCACAAAGTTCTTATCTCTATTTTACACACAATGCCGATACGGTCGCAAAAGGTTCTCTCGCTCGACCTCGCGAGCGGGATTCGTAAACAGCCAGTAAACAGCCAGAGGTGCGCGAGCGAGAAAAGGAGAGGGGGGAAAGAGAACGCGCGTGTGCGATCGAACGATCGACGTGCACGTTCGATCGGACACGTCGATCGTGCACGCGCAAACGAGAACTGGTTTTCTACGATGTACAAACCGATCCCGAACTCGGTGCAAGCATATGATTCAACCGAAAAGGGGGATAGGAGCCTCCGGAGTGGGAGAGAGGACGGATAAGGTCACTGACGTTAGTAACGCTTATCGCTTCTTACCGAGCGATAACGAAGAAGGAAGATCTGAGTTTTGTTTTCCTAGATCAATCAGATTTCGCCGCGGGCGAACTCTTGTTCGACTGAGCGTCGTACCGAACAACCTTCGAAGAGACGGAAAACATGACTTTGACGCATATGTCGTGGAATTTAAATGCATTAGAAAATAGTGTGTATCAAAATGATTTGTCTTTGTCGCGCTCTGCTGCGTTTCTAATCGCTGATCTAACTCTGGCAGACTCCAACGGTTGAATAATTGACGACGAGAGATTTATAACTATTTATCTGCTGACGTGATCACACGAAAGAGGTAAATAGATTTTATTTTAATTTATTAGATTTCTATCTTTTTTTATCGAATTTTCTTTAAACTTGATATCAGATACGCGAGATCAAATGTGAATGATTTCAACTTTACTTTACTTTCTTTTCATCTCAGATAATGATAAATTTGTATTTTTTTTATTCGAAATGTTTTTTTTTTTCACTGTAGCTATCTTATCGATCGATGATTATAGTGTAACCCACGCGCGTTATCGTGACGTGATCTATTTTACCGACTGTAGATTTAAATTACAGGTTCGATTGTCCAGGTTCGAAACGGTCCGATCGATGAAATTTGGCGTGAGGGCAGACTGTGGGCTGCAATCACGGATGCAAATCTTCGGCGGGAGCAGCAACGAGATGCGCGGCGCGTGCATCGTCGGCCATTACGGATTCGTTTCCACTGACGCGTCGCTGTAACAGCGGAGTGCGATTTTTCCGATAAATAACACCTTATTGTGCGTAGGTTCGTGCACTGTTGAAATTGATCAGTAACAAACTAGGATGTCGTTAAACATGGATATGGAGCGGTCGAGCAACGGGGAGTACAAGTATCAGAGGGAGGATGACGCCGACGACAAAGCCAGATCGCTGGATGAGACCGATGACAAGGATCATCAGATGGATAAGGCCGGCGAATATGTGCACGAGCTGCTGCAAGAAAAGATCGAGCTCGACTCTCAAAAATGGCCCAACGCTACCCGGTTACTCAGCCAAGGTAAGCTGAGAGGGATATCGTTCAAGTAAATTCACTGTAACAAGAGTCGTGGAGTCAAGTTCATTGTGATAAAAAAAAAAACAAAACCAACTAGAATGCAAAGTTGAGAAAGTTATTTTTGAAAAGTACCTCATTTACACTCGAGAA